TTAGTATCAAACTGCTTCACCGGTCAGGTACACATCCCGTTTTGATACCCTGCCCAGAACTCACGCCAACTTTAATGGACTTCACATGGCCAGATTGCCATAGGGCTGGTTTGTTACCCAGCAGTAATTCCAACTGCAATTACTATAGAGCCATGGCTAGAGATGATCACCTCCATCACCAGCAATCACACGGTGCTACGATCAATGTTTAACTGTTTCACAAGTGCCCAGCGACTGCCCCGCAGTCCGACACCCTGAGGGTTTATCCAAGGAAAACAACTGCCCCAGAAGGTGTCCTGGCTGTGGCTCTGCAGTCAAACTAATAAACTGAGAAATAAGGACTGTTCAAGATTCCAGAACATGCACCAGAATGTCCTTTTGTTAGCACTGGAATGAATACACCGACATCTTTCAAGGGAACAGCGTGTCTTCAGCCCGTAGCCTTGTATCAAAGTAAAGAAAAAGCCAAGAAAAGGATTTTTCCAGGGGCAGCAGCAGGAAAGAGTTCTGCTCCTAGCAAGAACACAGACACTTGCTTCAGAAACTTGGATTTGTGGCATTTTGCATTTGCCATCTAGACACAAAGTACTCAGACCGTCTTCTTCTCATTTAGAGAGATTTTTTAGTGGGCTTTATGTCAAAAGCGCTCAAGGGATGGTGAGCTTCTTCCCATGGCAGCAGCCTACATATCCTCTTAGCACTAATCTCCTTGTAGAGCTAGCTGAAATTCCCTTTTAGCTAAAATGCTAGGAGGTGTATATCCTAGGAACTGTGGGTCGTGAGGTCTTGTGCCTTTTCACAAGCAGAACCTGCTTAGCCACAGCGAAGCGTTACAGCCATTCTCGTGGGAAGGGACAGTCTCTCCACTGAACCAGTTCATCTCAGTTCACCAGTGACCAATTTTGCATGCTGAAGCACAAAGCAGAAGAGGTAAAGTGGAAGTATTTTGGATTTCAGTACTGACACTACAGTGTGTTTCAGTCTCCCTCCAAGCAAGCAGCAGTGCACTGAATGTCTTCCAAGAACAAACTGAATGGTAGCTGGCATCAAACCCTTGCAAAACTGGCATCCCAGCTCAGAAAGCAAACCATCTCCTCTCCCCCACCAGCTTTTTCATTACAGCCAGACTCTTCTAATGAAGACACAGATTTTGTTTGCCTGCAGCAACGTAGGTACCACTGATGCAGTCTCTATAGGTACATGCTCCTCAACAGTACTATCAACATGCCAAGCCTGCGTGATGTCGGCACTCTCACTGTCCTGGGGCAGTACTCCCTGCAGATCTCCTGCTCAATCTGCATGCCAGGATGTTCCCGGTGGTTACATGCTCTTTGCTTCTGAAAACACTGAGATGACTGAAGAAAAAGTGAAAGGAAGATAAGGTACAAGTCATACTGATGCTACGCTTGACTCCTGGTCACTGCCATGCCTTGCTTGGTTTCCATCAGTGGCAAGCCTGGCAGAGGGAGAGGCTAAATTATGCTGCCAAAATTTAACAATTGGCTTGGGTCTTCTGCCAGAGGTATGGAAGCTCTACCTTTCCTCTCAAGCAAACCCTCATAAAAAGATACTGTTTGCAATATGTGCTCTTTCTTTCTCCTTTCCCAGTGTTCTAGTGCTGCATCATATTTGCTTTAGGGCTTGCAAGGACCTCCATGGGAAATATTCCAACACAGACTTCAGCAGAGTCAGTAATCTCAGCAGGGTACAAACAAGACCTGCTTGATGTGTTCGCTCACCAGGAGGATTGTTAATAAGAAAAATGGAACTGATTTTTTTTTTTTAGGCCACTTCTAAAAATACTTCTGGGAATGCTCCATCTTTCAAAACAACAGCAACAAAGAAATCCATAACCTGCCTAAGTTGCATTCCCATAGGAATCTATTAATTCTGTGTACAGTAAGTCAGCTTTCTCGACGTACCAGTTCAGCTATGTTTTGGCATCTGTCAGAGACAGTTATTCCTTCACTTAAGGATCACAAAACCATCCTGGAAACGGCATCCAGAACACACATTTGCAGTGGATCACCAGGACACAGGGGCGTATTTAAAAGCAACGCTTGAAGCATAGCTGAAGTTGACCCCTTTGAGAGCAACAGATAACGTCTTGGCACTTCTGCCACGATGTTCTGCCGTGCGTCCCATCCCACCCATTTTCTGTCTTGAACAGTTAGATGCTGCTGTTTCATCTCTAAGCAGAGATTCAAGCCATGCACATCAATTTTTGGCTTTGAGATTTAGGCATTACAGAAGACACCAGGCACCCCTTACTTATGGAGCACAGGGAAACGTTTTACAACGCCTAATTGCCATTTTAATGCATGCAACTGTCTCTGAAAATGCTAGTCATCAAAGACACGTGCAGATTAATGTGTCATGAAATCACAGTGAGTTTCAAGATCAGAAGCTTAAGTAGTAGTAGGAAGAGAATATCCTTAACAACCCAGATCTTAAATCTGCCACCACAGAACAGAGAAAGCGAGAAAAATAATCCTGGCTCTCAAGTAGCACAGAAACTCTCTAAACAACCCCTCTTGCTTTTTTCCTTTCCATTTCTGTGGTGTATCTGATCATCAGATCACAGGGTAAGTGACATGCTATGTTTTGAGGAATGATTCACTGATACAGTGCAGAAATAAAAAACACCAAATACTGGATTTCTCCCCCAAGTTGACTAAACCGGCCCATGCTCCATGCCAACCGTTCTGCATGAGCTAAACATCACACACGTACTGAACTCCAGCTCCTAACCTCTTATCCACTTCTATTTCAGTTGTTTCAAGCAGATCAAGCCCCTCAGCTTAACAAAAGCACAGAGATTGCTCTGACATCTGTAGCTTATCCTGACCACTAACAACACCACAGCCTGAGCAGTCTCTTCCCCAGATCACCACGTGCACACATACCTGGTGTAAAAGATGAGAACAGGCCAGCAAAAGCACCCCAGAGTCTTTAAGCAAATGTGCCAAAACCAGCTCAACCCTTCCTAGGAGGGATCACTCCTTTTAATGGTTTTTCAACCTAAATGCTCTCAGCTGTACCCAGTCCCTTCCCAGCTGGCACAGGCTGCTTGGCTCCGAGCACACCCTACTCTCTGAATTAGCTGACAAACTGGTCAGCCACATTTCAGCATCAATGAGTACACAGGTGAAACTAATGAAGATGGGACCTTCCTTCTCCCAGGGAACTGCTACCCCATTTCACGTGGACACAAACCCTTGGCGACTGCTGTGCAACGCTGCTTCATTTGCCACGTACTTGAACAGCCTCATTTATACGTGTTAACCCTTACAGCAGCAGTCCCTGCCTGTTCCTCCCTTCTCCCTGCCTCTCAAAGAGAGCTTGGCCACGGGAGGGGTTACACACCTCCAGTATGTGCTGGACCTGGGCTCAGGATGTGCTCTCAGCTCCCCCCCCTCCGACACACACCAGGATGGGAGCGAGCAGCCCCTTTTGCTACGCAGGGTTCAAAGTGCCAAAACCAACTGGTCGTGTCCATGAAGAAGAGAGGCAGAGCCACGAGTCCTGTCTCTAGAAACAGCATTGCACAGCCCAAGCACGACGCCTCGCTCCCTGTTTTCTGACCTGGCGTGCAGCCGGCGCTCCGCAGGCTTCGGCAGGAGCACATCCAGGTTCCAGCAGCACCCAAGGTCAGGCAGAAAGCAAGGCAGCTCGTGTCTCATCTCCTAACAGAGAACAGAGTTCAGAGTGCATCTGTTGGCATTCAAAGGTCATGTCAAGCTGCAAAGTCTTAATGTTTTTTGAAAAACAAAACAGTGCAGGTTCTTTTTTTTTTTCTCTTTACCTTCTGGTTCCTGAGCCTTGGCATCATATGCCAACCTTATCCCAGGTTTCCTCCACAGCTACAAAATGGGTAGAAACACACAGGTTTTGAATCAAAGCTGAGCTCCTCACCTGAGTTTACAAGCCAAACCATTAAGAAAAAAAATGAGGTAACCTCCTAAGAGTCATGAGAAAAACCTGAGAGCTGGCAACACTGAAATGATCTTTATCCCTGTGAAAGCTAATGCTGGTAGTTCTGTTTGTTTTCACTGTTTTACACCTGGTTTGGGTTTTGGTTTTTTCCCCCCCTTTTCTGGCTATTTAGGGATCCACTGAAGATGAACAGCATATGACTAAAGGCACCTCCTTAATTGAAAGCCAACATCACCACCTGCTGCACTGCCTGGAAAAAACAACCGTAAGTAGCAACACAATCCTTTTACACCTTGGAGGTGTTTGTGCCTGGTATGGAAAAGATGTGCACACAGATGCTCTGAAGTGGCACTCAGGGACACATACTCAGTAGACCTACAAACTGCCAGAGGAGGCTGACCCTCAAGCTCCCAAGAATATTCTGCAATAGGATAAATGCACTTTATTTTACTTTCTGCTTTAAAAAATAAAAAAAAATACTGTGCCAAAGGAGAAAGGTGTGATTACCTGCTACTCCAGAGACATCTACACCAGTACTAAGTCAATAGCAGGGTGCTCAGTCAAGCTCTCTTGAATGCAAATAACTTTTCAGCATCCTATAAACAAGATGCACTTTAATTTCTTCAGTACTTCTGAAAGAACTAAACTGCATTTGTCTTGTGTTGTCAGTCACACATCATATATACTCATTGCTTGTGCTAATTAGCAACAAAGGACAGTTCTGCTGCCTTCAGAGGAGGAAGCTGCTGTCAGTGACTCCAAACCACAACCTGATCACCAGTGCCAACAGGCTGGAAAAAAATAACCTTTAGCCCTTTATATGGCACAGAGCAGACGAACTCTCTTAATGGGTTTAAAGGTTGCACATATCTTTTCTCACTACAGTTCTGGTTACAAGAGCAGGTAATTTATCTCAAAGCCAGTCAAGCAGTTTCTATGTGACCTTTCTGTTCACGTCATGGAAGCTGTTGGAGTGACAATTTTATTTTTCATTAAGTGATTCTGCATGCAGAAGTCTCTTGGAACATTTCAGATATTTATTTGATACATATGTTTTACTTCCAGGTTTATAGAAAAGGTTCTGCAGTAAAGGAACACATTATCTAGATCATGATTCATTCTAGAAAGAATGAAGAGAGGTTAACACTTGAAATATTCATGCCTTTTTCTATCTGCATCCATCATCAAATGTACTTTTGATTTCTGACTTGCAAGAGCTTTCTTTTAGATAAATCACCTTCACTTCCATAGTTTGGCTTGTGCTGGAATAACACCACTTAGGCTTCCGTGATACACTGGAAGAAGATGACTGGTTAATTGCAGTGACCTGCTGAGTACAGCTGGTTTATCACAATGAGCTGTAAAGGTCACCGCTCCAAGGACAGTGAACTGATTCTTCCTCTATCCATGACTCTTGAGTTCATTTTATAAGACTCATCTTGCCTTTGTTTCTAGAAATTTTGGGTGTTACGAAACAAGCAGATATTTCACAATCTGACTCTTTAGTTCGGAACTTTACGCTTAAAAGCTTCACCACTATGACCCGTATTTCTCAGGAATACTGTCACTTGGGAACTTGAACAAAGTGGCTGAAGCAAACAAAAGCTGACAGCCCTCCCTCCAGGGTCTGCCCTTGTACAACCCTGACTTTGTAAAGGCTCATCGAAATTCAGCCCTCTGCACAGGGCAGGTGGCCATCTCTGGGGCTGCATGAGTTGCCCCATGACTAACGAGCCAGTTCGGGTGCTGGAAGTAACGTGGACAAAGCACATCCTAACCCATGGATGTATTAGCCTACCCCACTAACAAAGCTCCACTGCCTCCAGCACACAAGCCTGCTCAGACAGTGAGTCTCAGTGGTTGAAAATGCTCCAAACGTCGCTTTTTTTCAGCAAAGAATGACAATAACAGTGAATTTTGATTAAAATTGTACTTTGATTAAAACCTAGAGGGAGAATCCACACAATATTTAATGTGTTTTCCCCCGCATTTTTCAGCCAGTTATTACCATGATGTCATATCAAATCACGTAGCAAGTTTGGATTCTGGTCTGAAATCATCAATCAAAATAGTTCAATCAGCTTGCGTGGAAATTCTGTAATTCACATCATCTACTAAAACACTGTGCAATAGCTGTCCTCCCAAAAAATTTAAATCCTAGAAAAGAATTTTTAAACACTGAAGAGTCATTTTGTGACCGAGTTGCAGGAATGGAATGATGAATGTACCATGCTTGCAAACTTGTTTCAATGGGCAATTCACCTTTCCTTACGCAGAAGGATTCCAAAAGTCCATTATTTATGGTCCCAGTATCCACAGTGAATGGCTGAGAATGGCTCACAAATCTGGAGTGTGGGATGACAAAGTGACCCTGAAGCACTTCTTTGTGCTTCAAAGAGGCCACTTTGGCATTTTAACAAAACAGATGGAGTTTGTTCAAACAAAAGGATTTTTTTTTCCACTCGTTCCAACTCCCAGATTGAGTTTGGACGTTCACGTACCATGTTTTCTCCAAATGCTGAGTGCATCGAATCCAGTCCTTCAACCCAAACCTTCCTTCTGTGTCTCCACAGTATGGTCAAAACCCACACCCATGGGTGACCCAATGGTGATACCATTCCAATTCCTTACTTGTGAATCAGCAGCTGAAACTTTGTTTTCCTTTGCTTTCGGCTCTCAAAAGATCAAAGCAATAAAGTCCTTAGCAGGTTTGTTCTCTTTTTAAGAACACAACATTAAAAAGCTTAAGCGTGAGAAGGAAGGAACAAAGGAGTCTGATTCAGGCAAGGTTTGGTGAAGAGAAGGTCCAGTTGCCCATTCAAACTTGAGCGAGCCGGCTGGAACGCTGAGGCAATAGATGCAATGCTGGGACTAAACTTCTGAATGCCGGAATGGACAATCAATTGTGTTTTTATCTTTTGTTGGCATGTTGTCCCGTAGGGATTGTCCTATCTTGTGGATGATCCCCTGTTATCTGTACGAACTTCCACCATCAAGGTATTTCCTTTTTAATTCAATCTGTTTCTCTATGGTCTCTGTGACGTGTCTGGAGAGTGTTTGCTTCCTTTCTTGTTCCCGGTCTTGTCCTCGGGAGTTTGTGCACGTGGCTCTTCTTGGCTATCCAGTGCTCGTTTCCTGTGAGAGTTGTTGGTTGTTCCAATGAAAACCAATGGCTGCCTTCACCATGGTTGCTTTTGTTTCCCATCCTTCCTGATGCTGACGGACTGGATAAAGCATGTTCACTGGAACTACTTGGGTGTTCATACATGCACATAAGAGTTCTTTCTTTTAAGGATTTTTTGTTCCTTAGCACAAAAACTCTTTACAGATTCAGCTTTCTGAATTTCCTCCCCCTGTACACTTCCCACTCTCACCTGCCACATTTGTTTCCACTCAGCTAATAGCACCCAGTGAACTGCAGGTGTGCTTTGCACCCTACAGCCCATACAAGCAATATCCTGCAATTAAGCTATACGTCAAGATGGTCTTCCAAACACAATACAATCCTGTCCCCAGGGAGGACAAGAAAAAGCAGCCTAAATCTCCTCTTGGGTTTTATAACCATGTGGCATTGCAGGCTTTTTGAAGCCACTTCCAGAATCCAGACACAAAAATGAAAGGAAATCCGAGCACAATACATTAACCACCTCAGGCTACCCAAGCAAGGCAGCACCCACAGGCTGCCACGCTGTTGTCACTGCAATGGCTTCCCTTATTCCCCTGCTGATGCAGGAGAGCCAAGTCTTCCCTTGGTTGCAGTGAATGGAAGGGTAGAGTCATTTCCCTTAAAGATCTGCCCAGTGCAGATGATTTCTGGCACGGAGGCAGAGAGCATCCTGCCCAAGCTGACACATCCCACCAACCTAGCCAAAGGTGCCGCTGAAAACAAACCGCTGTCGGGCCAAAGCTGGTGTCACCGGAGAGTAATGGCACTGTTCTTTTCCCTGCCAGAACCACGAGTTCATAGACGAGCAACTGTTCGAGCAGAACTGCATGGAGAGCTCAATGCAAAACTACCCTTCTTCTCGGAGCCCCTCCTTGTCAAGTCACCACGGACTGACCACCTCCTGCTGCTCTCGCCGTAACAAGAAGACCACTCACCTTCCCAACTCCAGCGTGCCAGCCACTCGCCTGCGGAGCATGCAGGAGCTCAGCACCATCCACATCCAGTGCAGTGAGCAGCCCTCGCTTACAACAAGGTACAGTAAGTAGGCTCTTGCTGCTAACTCCTGCATGCAAACCTCCGAGGTGCATGAGCCAACTGAACATCCTTGCTGGCCTGTTCTCCAGCCAGGGACAGGGGTCTAGTGCTGGGAGCATCTTTGTTTCTCTCCTTCTAATGACAACCAAAGGAAAGTTGCTTCGTGCTCTTCTGGGAAGAACGAGGTCAAAGATAGACTCTAGTGCAGCTCTTCTCTGGCCACACTGGACCTCCCAGACAGCCCAGTACTCCCAGGCCCTTACTGGGAGATGGCAAAGACAACTGGCTAATCAGTGTCTGTCAGCAAAAGCTGTTGGAGAGCTGTACACACTGACATGGTCCACAGGGACACTCACTTCACTGATTTTCATTGTCCAAAAGTCTAAATTGCAACTGTAAGCACCGAGCATCACTGGGAAACAAATAACGAGGAATTTCACAATGGTGCCTTAGTAGCCCTCGCCTAAAACGCAATTAGCAGCACAGGTGAAGAAATGCCTCAATAGAAAACGTTGAAATTTTTATTTTATACATAACTTGCTGGAAAAATAATTTATTCACCGTATCTGTCTTTTCAAATATTAAATTACTTTCTAAATCCCCCTCAGCCCATTAAGCTTCTTGTGCACTGGGCTGGTTTTGAACTTGCCATTCTTCTCCTCCCAAAGAAACTGCAACAAAGCTGCCTTTAGGGCAGCAAGCCACTACTTTGTGGCAGGGGGGAGAGTCAGAAGGGCATTTCACAGAACGAATTATGAACGAATAAGCACAAGACGAGTCTCTGGCTATTGCAGTTTCAAGATGACCATAGTTTAAACCAGCACCTGAAACAGTAATTCAGGGCCACGCCGACTCTTCTGCCTATTTCAGTGGGTGCTAAAATCAGATGTCAAGGATATTTTAAATGTCAACACTGTTTTTTCACTTGCTTACCAAACTGTAAGAATGGAGAGGAAAAAAAGCTTTTAAATTGTTTTTCATGTGGAATGCAACTAACTGGGTGTACTGGTTACCACCTGCAGAACCACCCAGTCCCTAAGACTGCCCCACTCAGCTGTGACTGAGGCAACCCGGGAGCAGAACGGGTTCTGCCCTGTTCTTGGGATGCTTGAGCCATCAAGAAACATCCTGGTGGTGAGTCACTCTGAGATAACAGCAGCAATGGCTTTCCAACTGGGAGCTTTACGTGGTAAAAGGACAGGCCTTGTGTTCAAAATGAACATGTTGGGCCGGTAATAGCAGACTCCTGTAGCTGTGCAGATGCACAAAAATCAACCTATCATTTTCCCTCTGTAATTAATTATAGGATGCAATTGATGCAGATCTAATAAGAATGCTCCCAGCTGCCAGATCCTTGAAACTACTGCAGAGATGAAAAAAATAGAAAAGAACAAGGAACAGTGCAAGAGGGATTTGAAATGCAAGGAAGACAACATCTCTTTCTCAGAAAGAACTACCTGTGCTCTGAAAAGATGCAGGAGGCAGGACAGCATGTTTAGATGTCCTCTTAGCTAAACTGGAATTATGCAAAAATGAAAAGGAAACATAGAACGATTTGCCCTGTGAAAAGCAGTATCCTAACCAGGGGGAATATTGAAAAAGCTTAGTGTAATTTGGGTAGAAATAAATTATGTCTTGCAGGAACTGGGGGGAACATTTACGTGGAGCCTTCTAAATATTTCAGTGCCCTTAGTTCAGAGGAATAAGATACTGATTCAAACCAGCTACCATTCCCATCCTTTCTACAGTCTGGGTGTTGTTTTGGTTTTTTTTAAAAAAAAAAAAAAAGCCAAACACTACATTTGTTTTCTAGTCGTTCCAGTCTCAACATGAAATCAGATGATGGGCTGAGACCGAACTGCAAAGCTGCCCAGATCACGACAGCCATCATCAGCATCCCCACGCCGCCCGCGCTCACGCCGGAGGGCGAGAGCGGCCCGTCGCCCGGCAGCCCCGGCCG